ATTCAGATGTTATTGGCATATAACATAGTAAGTTTAAGGTATACAATGGGATCATTTGATATACTTCTATATTGAGACCTACCTCATTTTTTTTTTTAATATTTTTATTTATTTCTAGGAGAGAGAGAGAGACAGTGTGAGCAGGGGAGGGTCAGAAAGAGGGAGTCACAGACTGAAACAGGCTCCAGGCTCTGAGCCGGCAGTCAGCACAGAGCCCGACGCGGGGCTCGAACCCACGAACCGCGAGATCATGACCTAAGCGAAAGTCGGACGCCTAACCGACTAAGCCACCCAGGCGCCCCAAGACCTACCTCGTTTTTAAGGCTGTGTAATATTCCAGTGTATGGCTATACTAGAATTTAAGCTATATATAAGGGGTTCCAGACTTTTAATGTTACAATGTTACAATAAATGTCTTGTAACTGTCTTTTGCACATTGGTGCTGGCGTGTTTGTGAGATTGAACACTGGAAACAAAATAGCTGTGTCAGGTGACATTTATAATTTTACCATGTAGATTACTTGCCCAGGGGTAATAGCTATTTATAGTCCTACCAAAAGGATATGGGAGTACCATTCTCTCCTGTACCATTTCCCCCACCCCTCTCTGCTGGGTCATTCATCAGGCTCTGCCTCTAGCTATTAACCAGCCGTCTGCTTGCTCTTTACTCTTAAAAAAAAAAAAAAAAAAAGTTGTCTATACTGGCAGTCCCCATCTCTCCCCATTCTCCTCCATCCTTAAATTCTTGTTATGGAAATTCTTAACCATGCATCAGAATAGAACAGAGTTAACCCCCCCCATAAGCCCCTCTATATCTGTCACTCAGCTTCAACATAACATTCTGCTCATTTTATTTATTTCCTGCCCTCTGCCTTTTTCCTAAATAATTTCAGTCATAATTTCAACCACAAATGCTTTAGTCTGTATCCCTGATAAGGGCTTTAAAAACAACAAATGTCATCACTATATCACAATTTTATCAATTATCACAATTATATCACCCAAAAATTAACAATTATTTAATATCATCTGATATGCAAGCCATCTTAAAATTTTGTCTCAAAGTGTGGGGAATAAGCTTAGGAACCCCCCGGGCTTACACCAATGGGTTAACAAGGCATATAGAAGTACAAAGCCATAGAATGCTCACACCGAGTTTGAGTAAACAAGATTAGCATCCCAGAATAGAGAGGTGCAAAGGCATCAAGAATAAGGAGGTGCAGAGCCCCCAGAATAGAGAGGGGCAAAGATACATGAAGTAAGCAAGATAAGGTGTTCAGGGTAAAAATGCCCCCCAATTAGTACTACAGCAGAAAGCTGCTTTCACAGGAAGGAAGGACCAAATTAGGTAAGCAGGTAAATAGAGCTATAGACTGCTGCACAGCACTGTGGGTGATGCTGCCTAGAGCAGAGAAGATTAACAAAAGGTGCCTGGTTAACCCTGAGGTCACGTGTCCTACCTGTCTCATCCTCTAGGCTAGGTAAGATAAACAGAGCTGGTGCCTCACTTCTGCTGTAAACAACCTTCCCCCGACTGCCCCCGCCTGGTGCCAGGATTTTGTTTTGTATTAACCCGAACTCCTAACCCTGAAGATCTTCAAGAACCCTCTTCTCTAACGTCCACAAGTTAATGTTCACAGTTTCACTGTCTCTCTGTGCACGTCGATCACCATGACTGTAAGCCTTCTGATCCTAATAAAAACGGGTCAAGGCCCCTTATTCCGGCTCTTGTCTTTTCCCGGACATTAGCCATCTCTCCTATTTTCATCCTGCGTCTGCTCTCTTACTCTCTCACTGGCCGAGAGAGAACTTTAGAGTCTACAACATCAAAAGAAAAGTCTAAGATGGTTTTGTTCAATTCAGGATGCAAACAAGTTCTTTATGTTCCCTAATCATTAAGTCCAACCATCCATTGTCTTTATTTTATACCTGCAATTGGTTGAAGAAACTGGGTTATCTGTCCTGTGGAATTTCCCACATTCTGGATTCAGTGAGCTGTTTAACATGTTGATCTTCAATATCTCACACCTTTACAAACTGATCTTGTGACGTGGAGGCTTGATTACATTCAGGTTATGTTTTGGCCAAGAATTCAACACGGCTGGGGTTGGGTCCTTGCTATCGCAGCACATTGGAGGCATTAACCTTGGCTGTTCCTTTTTTAGTAACACTAAGATGGATCACTGGGTTCACATGTTATCAACCTGAGCCATTCAACAAAACGTTTCCCATCAACTTTTCACCTAATATTTTTAGCAGCCTGGGGCTATTATTTCACTAGAAGCGACAAAATGGTGCTTTCTCAATCCTCTCCTTTCTCCGATACCTAGTTATGATTCTCAAGTGAAGAACTTTCCCTCATCAGGTCAACGTGATACCCCAAATGCTCAGGATAAATGCTTTGTTTTTCCAGTTAGCAATTTTCAAAATAATGGATTGGTGCTCTAGTACTCTGCAAATAGTTTTTTTTTAAACTATCATGAACTTGGGCATTTTTACATATTTCATATTTCAATCCACTATCCTTTTCGATGTCTATATTGCTCCATCTTTGGCCAGTGGGAGCCCTGTGTTGGCTCCTGGGTCCTGTGACATGACCTTACTCTGATTGCTTCCTTGCTTTCAGACATGAGATCATCCAGGCTCATCTTAGCCTTTCCCTGCCCCTTCAGTGGGACTGTCTTCGTGTTAGGAAGGGCCTCACCACTGGGCTGTGATTGCTTCAAGAACTTTCCATGCACAATACTATGTGGTATGTTTTTTTTTTTTTTCAGAAAGAGAAAAATAAATCACAGTATTTTACTGGTATTTCCAATTGAAATATACAATCACACAGCTTTTACTTGACTCTGTTCTAGTATCTCTTTTGCATTGAAAAATCATGGTCTTAGTTCCACTGACATAATAAATACATGCTTTATCAATTTATAGTTTCAAAATGATAATACCAGTACGATTGCTAAAAATATAAATACTGAATGCAGTTTAAGATTTCTTCGTGATCCTTTGGTCTGTAGGAAAGTGCAGACAAAATGCTGGATCATAAAGTCACTTGAAGAAATTCTATGCGTGGTCTTACCTCCAGCTTGATAGCTAAGTTTGTCTTAGTTTTAAGAGTTGCTTTTTAGGGGTGCCTGGGTGGCTCAATAGGTTAAGTGCCCGACTTCAGCTCAGGTCATGATCTCTCAGCCCGTGGGTTCGAGCCCCACATCGGGCTCTGTGCTGACAGCTCGGAGCCTGGAGCCTGCTTCAGATTCTGTGTCTCCCTCTCTCTCTGCCCCTCCCCCGCTCTCTCTGTCTCTCAAAATAAAGACATTAAAAAAGGGTTGCTTTTTTTTTTAATTATAGAAAACACTGAAAGGATCCCAAAAGCTGACATACAAAACAAGATACAGACAAAACAAGACACAGATCTGGTTGCCCTTCCTGTCCAGCTTTCTACCACCACCACCAAGGGAAACTGATTTACTAGTTATTGCTAAAACACCACTTTCCATCGCATTAACAACAGAAGCAAATGTGTATTTGTTTTTTCATTTGTCTCCTCCTTTCCTACACACGGGACCCCATTCTCCACTTCCTCCACTCTAGAGCTGCATCCCGAACAGCACACAGGAATGGTTCCCCTCTCCGTTTACAGCTGTGGGGCGCTCCGCGGTATGTCTGCACCACGGTTTCTTCGGCCAGTGCCCTCTCAGGGGAGACGGAGGCGGCCTCCAGGCTTCAGTGGTTCCAAACAGCGCCGTCAGCAAGGTGTGTGTGCGTTCTGCAGGGCGTATCTTCGCCAGTGCATCCCAGACAGGTCGTCGGAAGTGAGACTGCTGCCCAAGGTGAGGAACAAACTCAGACCTTACTTTGCTAGTTATTAGCCAGTTCCATCCACAGATGTCACCCTTTTCAGAGGGCCTGTCCCCCACGGCTGACGCAGCAGAGCACATCATGGAGCTTGGAGCCTTCCCCATCTGACACGGTAAGAAATGCTGTTGTGATGGTTTAAATTTGCACTTCTCTCCTGCATGCCCTCATATATTTAAGGGCCATGTGTGTTTTATTTTCTGTGAACTGTGTGTTCCTGTATCTTTTTGCCTATTCTGCTTAACATTTAAAAATTCCTCATATATTAGAGCTAGATATGCCTTTTGTAACAGTGCAAATTTTTTGCCAGCTTACTTTTTGACTTTCCTTTTTTTGAGGTTTGGGTTTTTTTTTTTTGCCATCTAAAACTCTTATTTTCAGGTAAAGATACCAACCTTACTGTTTATTGCTTCTGGATTTTCAGTCATAGGAAAGCTTCCCTCCTCTCAGAGTATAAAGGAAGGCACACCAGCGTTCCTGTAGCGTGCAGGCTCCATTTTCATGGGTCTCTGACCCATTCATCAGATTTTATCCTTGGGGACAGTGTGCGAAGTGGATTCTACTTTGTGTTCTTCCGTACAGTTAACCACATCTGTCTTAACACCATTGTTTAAGTCTTCTCCTCCATCAGCATGATGCTCCCTTTATCATATAATAAATTCCTGGACTGGATATTGTTTTTAGTAATGTTATAATATCAAGTAGGGCTTTCCCTCCTTCTCCACTGTTCTTTTCTAGGGTTCTTCTGGCTATTACAGTTTATTCTTTCCAATACCTTCATATAGGAAAAAACTTGTTTTATCAGGATCTAATATGTCCCTTAAAAAACTATATATGTATATATATATATGATAAAAACATATACACATATATATCTATATAAAGACATTTCAAAAGCGTTTTCTAAATAATAATCTGAAACCAACTGGAGGCAAACTTTGTTTTGAAGCTTCGTTCTTGAAGGAAACAGACCTCCCACTAAGGGAGGCATGAACACAGAACAGCCATGCACAGAGGTCGGAGCCCTGCCTCCGATGCCAACATGTGTTACTTCCTGCACCCCCACTGAACTACGGTCCCCAGTAACTAGTATAAGCAGTCCAGGCCACGGCAAAAACCCAAGAAAATATAGAGCAGCTGTCTTATTGCAACTATTACAGTTAAAATTTATTCTGTAAAATAAAGTTAAAGTACATTGTGCATAATTTAGCAGAGATCAAATACTGTAACAGGATTTTTTTAGAGAACATTTAGCACCCACTGTATTTTCAGGAATTTTGAGGACTATGACCTTCTCTGCCAGCTCAGTATTCACAAGATTACATAGTGTAGACCCCAAGATTTACCTCTTAAGAATTATGACAGTATTTTTCAAATAAAGCAAAATCAGTTGATAGTTCCTCTTGACGTCTGAGAACATCTTTTTCCCGAATCATTTGGCACATCTGTGGCCAGAAACTCCGTCCATGAAGTGAACTAGTAACTTGCCTCCAAGGGTTGGGACCAAGTTTCCTTCACAGAAAGCCTCCGGTACAGTATAAAACTATCATTTACCAATTAAGAGGGCCTGCGGAGTGTGTCAAAAATACTCCCCAAACTGTACCACTTAAAGGATTCGAGCTAGCCCTCAAAGACACGAACTGAAAACTACAGACGACTATTGTTCGCTAGGAAGAGAGGTCTGACAGCGGCCCTGGCCCTCTGGTGCCCTCCTGCACAACCTGGTTTAGATGCCTCGTCAGACACAGGGCTGGCTGGGAATTACCTGTTGTGCTTCCGTATAATTTGCCTCTTCCTTTGTAGAGAAGGTCATGTTGAAAATAGAACATTCGGTCTTTCTGGCAGTTAATCTAAGTGATGCAACCTTACGTTTCCTAACCTATTACAGATTTCCTAATTAATCATTTAAAACCTTCAACAGTCGAAACCATTAAGCCTTTATTAAGGTTCCAGTTCACTGTTTCTATTTACACAGCCACCTTTCTCCTAGACAAGCAATGTCACCAAAACATAAGGCAACTACGCCTCGTTGCGGACAATTCGATTCAACGTTCTCTTTCGGAGGGTCTTCTCAGCAGCCAGTTACCACATGGTGATTTTCACAGTTTCAAAGTTTCCTCGTTTTAAAACAGCAAGAAAAGTGTCATTATACTTGATGGTAGTTATTGGCAAATAGTTCAATCAACGTTACATAATTCTTATAAGATAACTTCAAGTATGTGTATGATTTCATCAACACAAACCTCAAAAACGAAAACAAACCCCAACAGTCGCATGCTATCTCATTTGTATGAGATACACCTATTGTGCAGACAAACCACCTATTTGTCTCTTTCAGTGGCTAAAAACGTAATCCAGTTTTAGCACCCATCTACAAGAGTTAGATGTTAATGACAATATATGATGGCTTACTGGAAGGTAAGTCTTAACATCCCCTCAGAAGGAAGTCTGTTCCTTGTGCTGCAGCTGGCTCATAGAAAAGAGTATTAAGAAAGGAGAGAATTAGTTAAGGCTTTGCAGTACTTAAATCACTTAAGTATTAGTATCATGTTTCCCTGTAAGTATACAGTTATATCACATATAAGAGATTTCAAGGAATTGCGCTGTTTAAGATACATCAGGATGAGCCACACTTAAATGCTGAACGTGACCGTGCAGCCTTCAGTAGGGAATAGAGGAGCATCAGAAAAATTCACGCTGGTGATAAGTTCCCATCTTTTTAACCAAAATGCTGTTTCACCATCACTCCATTTCAAAAACAAACTGAAGGATTCTAAACAAGTGATAAATTTTTACACAAAAACACACGAAATTGTGATTAACTAGATCAGTTATTAGACATGGTAAAGCAAAGGAAATAAAGTGCACCTTTACAGTATATAAAATTATAGACCCAACAGTCACTTTTTTTAATTGCCGATATAGACTGAAATACAAAAAGTACCCAACACAGCAAAGTTAGATAGAAAGGAAAAAAGTTTCAGTTGAAAAATTACAATTTTTCAGTACAGCAGAGGGACAAATAACCTTTTATTAAAGCTATCAGACTTGGAGACTCTTGAATATTTCAGCGTTGTGTAGGAGAAAGGAAAGCTGTTCTTCTAGAAGGCACTACTGATTTCAATGTGTGAGCTTCATACAGACAGTATGTCTGAAGGGCAGTCAGAAGCCGCCCGGCGCTCTGCTGCACCCTCCCTCTGCATGGCAGACCGTGCGCCCTGCTGGGGCCCGGTGTCCGTCGGTCCGCAGGGCCCCCACAGCCTCATCAGTGCGCTCAGTCCACGGTGTCACAGATCTCCTTGACTTTCTGGTTGAAGTCTTCCGGTTGATCCGCATATACATAATGCCCTGCCCCAAGAATGGCCTGGAATGGAAGGAGTCAGGAGGCCCATGAGCAAAAGCATTTACTACAAAACGATGACATAAACAAGCCCCTTAGGAATGGAAGTGGGAACAGCTTTGCAGAAATAACACATAAAAGGATGAGCAACACTGATCTGCAGTAACTTTTACGTGTTTCCATCAGAAAAGAATCTGAGAATAAAGAGAAAAATCTATTGGACTCTGCTACAATTTCATCTGCAAGAAGCCATTCTAAACTGACCACTACTGATGGGGACAGCGGACCACATGAACCACAGGAAACACGCTGCCTCGTGGGGGACTGGGGCAGGTGCCGCTGGGACGTCCCTCCCCCACCGAGCTCGGAGATGCCACAGCCCTAGGGACAGGCACGGCCTGTCTGGGCAGGAAGGGGGGGTGCGTTCAGCCCCGCGTCTCCTCACGAGTGACAGCGGGGCCTGACGGGGGCTGCAGGCCTAGCTCGCCTCTGAACGCACAGCGGGGGAGGGCCGGGGGGGGCCGGGGGCGGGGATGGGAGACCTCACCGAAGGCAAACCTGGTGCGGCCAGCCTCACCGACACCGGAACACCCAAACGATGCTGCACACTTACTATCGTCTTCACGTATGAGTGCGGTCGCAGAGACTGGATGCTGGTGCCAGAATTGCCGTCGATGCAGGATCGGGCGCCGTAGATCACCGAAACTGGAATGTCGGGGTGCATTTTACCAATGCGCTGCAGCATTGGCCTTTTCGCCCATCCGTAAGGGATAGTCATGTTTTTGAACGCCGTCTCACCGCTGGAGGAAGAGGAAAACCACACACGCATGACTTCTGGGGAGAAGCGTGCATCGCACTCCCACTGGCTCTGTCGGGACACCCCTGCTTAGCTCCTCCCTAAGAAAATCCTCAGTTTACACGGAAAATGATTCACTAGAAAGTGTAAGAAACAAACCCCACAGAAGGTACGTGCTTTTGTTAGATAAATAGGATTTTCTCAACTCTAGTTGACTAGAAGTCACCCTCTTCTAAATCAAACATCCAACCCTGGTTCCCTACCATTAAATTATTAAATTCCCTATGGGAGAGTTACAATGTTTTTTCCACTGTAACTAATTTGAAACGGAGAACACAGCTTTTCAACATGGGCACAGCACCAACCCTTCACCTGCAATAGTAAAAAGCCGATACCAAGAAGAAATGCAGAGGAAGTATTCTTCATGTCTGACGGTTTATTTCCTGCACATTCTGACATGTGATGTTTAAAAAATCCTTTCTGGCTAGGGAGAGATGGTGCCTCTTGGAGCCAGCCCATTCTTGGGGACAGCAAAGGATTCAACGGGCACACGGCGGTCATCTGCCGGCTGACAACCCAGTGCCATGTGCCTTCTGTTCTGCCCACACATCCGGGGTGCAACTGTCCTCTGTCTCAATCGTCCCAGGGCCATGTGCCAGGCAGTGAGAGCGCACCCCTGCATCTGAGCACCCACGGAAATCAGGCCACGTGCCAGGCAGTGAGAGCGCACCCCTGCATCTGAGCACCCACTGAAATTATTCAACTAGCCAATCCTAAACCGTCCGCCGCGCTGCCCTGCCTTTCCTGAAGAAGCCGATGAAAGTTCTGGCCTCAACTGTCCCTTCGCTCTGGTCTTCTGCCAGCCGACCCAAATCAGGTGCTTCCCTGTGACCCTTCATGACCTTCAGTGACCCCCTTTCCAGGTCTCGTGAGTATAATGAACTTTGCTTTCTTGAGCCTCTGTGTCTTCTCTTGTGGCTGCACCTGACCGACCATCACACAAAAGAACACGGAACACTTTGCAGACTCCCGGGACAGACCCACTGTGTGGTCATTTCTGTCTCCCTGCAGCACCAGGCAAACCTCTGAACTGCTGTTGTGAAGAACTCAAGTTCCACCATAAGACAGACAACAAATGGCACCATACAGGCACATGTGATCATGAAATTTAAGGGAGTAAAGCAGGGACACCAAGCAGGACAGATGACGTCCCTGGGACTGACCACTAAACGCTGTTGTAACAAGTCAGTAAAGTGCACAGTCCTGATCCACCCACTGACGGCCCAGTGGGTCACAAAATCGTCAGTCTCTTCAGGACCCCAAACCTCCCCAGCCTCCCTCACTCCTGGCAGAGAACCTCTAGCCCACTTTATGAGAAGGACCGAGTCCCCAGCGCAATAGCGGGCCCGGCCTCACCCCTTTAGCAGAGGAGGTGTGCACGTTCTCTGCCAGAAGTGAGGGAGGCCGTCTCTGCACCCGGCCCCTCAACCTTGGGAAGGCTGGGGTACCGCCTGCAGGTTGTGAAGCGTGGCTCACGGCCCAGCTACACGGGGTCAGCTGACATATTTGTTAACATGAAGCTGCGGCCGCTGAGCCAGTCTTAGAAACAGAGCGATTCTGGGGGGCCGTGAAGCTCTCCTCTGCCCGCCGTGCGCCTGGCCTGCTCCCTACAGCTCCGGGGCCTTGTCTCCCGGGGCCCTCCTGGCTCGCCACTATCTTTAGGCGGTTCGGTCCGCTGGTGCCTTGTACCCAACACCCGTAAGTCCTATATTGAAAAAAAACTAAGCAACACCTCTATTTGGCCCCCTCGCGCCCACGGCTACCGTGCCCACGCGCTCTCCCTCCCATGCCCCCCCTCTTCTACTCCCTGTCCAAACGCCTGCACAAGCCCCTCCCCGTCTCCCAGGCCTCGCTCACGCCTCACCCGCTGAAGCAGGGCTTCTCCCGCCGGCCCGGGGCCCCCACGTGCGCCGGAGCCATGCTGCAGAGCCCTCCCTGCACTGGGCGGCCCCACCGCCCTTGGGCGCAGCAAGCCTCTGGGGTCCACGTACAGAAAACTACTTACGTCTTTGTGCCGGCAGCCCTTTTTTCTTTTTTATGGAACATGACATGTCTGCTCAGTTTGGAAATGCTGTTTGATTTGAAATTCTTCTTCATCTCTCACCTGTGACCACCTCCCGCAGGGGCCCAGGACCACAGCCCCCGGGCCTACCCATGAGCACTCGGGGGGGGGGGGCAGCACGCCCTGCTGCCTCAGCTCTCCCTGGAGCCCAGAACGACGCCTGGCAGAGTAGACACTCCGCGAGCCGGGGAGGACCCTAACAGGTGTGCATCGCTCAACTCCTGTAACAGTCTCCTGGACCATTCACAGGCCTTCAGAGAAGCAGCGCGTAAAACCCCAGCACAGGACATCAGAGTCCTGACCCTTACCTGGGCGTCTGCACATTACAGTGGTAGATGTACTCCGTCACAGTGTCATCTTCAAACATCGAGGAGTACTTCCGCTTGAAATCAGGCCTTAAGCGCTGCACTAGACTTAAGCCTATGTAACGGGAAATGAATGTTTTCAATTACAGTTAACGGCCAGACTAATAGAGAAATAGAGAAAGAGTTTGCTTATAGGAGTGTTATATGCAGACCTATCTACACGTATCCAAGCGTCTATTGTAGGTGGAAACGAGCACAGGTCCTCGTAGCTGCTCTCCCCGAGTTCCCTACGGACTAACATGAGGAGTAGAGACTACTGTACGCTGACTTACAGATGTGTCTCAGGGGCTCGAGGTGACGTACGAGCTAATTTTCTATTAAACGTGGCTCAAGCTAACTTATTAATCTTCATTTCTCCCACAATTATAATACATTAACCTCTAAACAAAGTAAACAAACTGGGATATACAAGTCTTTCTGTGGAAAAATAAACGCAGAGTTCCTGCTGGATTTGGGACGCTGCCAACCTTCCGGCTCAGGCCGTCCTCTCCTGAGGTGACGGGTGGGCGCAAGGCCCCCAGAGGAAAAAGGCTGAAGAGCAGAAGCTTCCCTCTGGCCACGATTTTCCCTTCTCAGGCCCCAGGGGCCAGTCAGTGTCCCTTTCTGCTGTCACCGCCCATTATTTGAGTAAGGTCTTCTTCACCGGCCCTCCTTCCTACCTCGGAAAGAACTCTACAGCCCCATGGAGAACTCTGATGATGTGGCTGACACTCTATATGGGACCCCACCCCGACCACGTGCAAGCAAAGGGCAGGCAGAGGGCGTGGCGGGAGAGGGCCACCCCTAAGGAACGCTCCCTCCCCAACTGCTATCTCCTAGCTGCTTCTCATACTTTACTCTTCCCACCTCGCTACTCGTGGAACCGCAATCAAGCAGAATCCACCTGTAATTCAGGACTGTACAGACTAAATGAAGTTTTGAACAGTCCATCAAAGGGGGACCAGGCACCTAAGAGGCGCGGCTCTATACTCCTCGGGAGGGGTGAAAGGGGTGGGGGTGGGGGTGGGGGCTGTGTGTCAGAGCACTGAGGGAGTGTCGTGCAGTCGCAGACCCAAACCCCGTGCAGTCCCATGGTTCTACCCATCCCAGAGGCGTAGGGCAAAGAGGGGCCAGGCCTGGGAAGAGGGGAGCAGAATCTACTGTCACCTCTGCAGCAGGTATTTCCACACCCTGCCCACCCCCACCCCTCTCTTCTCGCCTTGCTACCAGAAGCTGACTCCCATCCATCAGTTAGGCAGCAACACACCCAGGTAAGTGGGCCCCTCACCCTAGCCCCTGGCAACAAATCATGATTGATCAACTACAGAAATGGACTGCTCTCTGCTGGTGCAAGAAGTAGGCGTGGGCAGGACTAAGGGGAGGCCTACGGAAACACTTCCACGGAAAGACACCTCCGACAAAGCAAGACGGAGAGAAGACCATTTTCCATGCTTTCCCTTCCTGCTCAGAGTGCTGCTTTGAGAGACGGGGCCTCCCCCACAGCAGCCCTCAGACCCCGTGAGGGGAACGGTCGGGAGAACCACAGCCGCGGGCCCAAAGCCCGACGTCCATGAGGCCGCTGGCAGAGCAAGTGCTGAAACCAGCCTGCTTGGTAAGGGGACAGAGCAAGGCCTCGTGGCTTCGACCACTTAGGTGTTTAGCTGCTTGCAGCTAACAGCGCTCCTCACCGATACGGGCGGTAAGAGGGGAAGCAGAGGTCCAGACCATCACCATCGGGGACAACGAGGAAAGGAAACTGCCTTGGCTTTGGGGTGGAGATGGAGGCGCTGAGAGTCAAATGAAATTAAATGAGACGCTGAACACTGGTATTTCAAAATAGGACCAGAAACACAAATCAAGAGTCCCCCAAATCTCTGTGGAAAAGGATGATTTTATCTTCTTAACACTCGGACATCACGGGGCAAGAAGGGAATGTCAGCACGTGATCACACCGATTTGCCCCAAGGGCAATCAGGTCAGGCTGAGTGATCTGCCAGCTGGGTGTCACCAACTGGCCAAGGCTCTCTAATGTCACCAACAGGTCAACACGCTGACTTCTCCCCATGCCCTGGGCTAACCTTCTCGGTTCCACTATGTACCTAGATTACTTACAATATGTTACATATGCAAATCTATCTATCTATCTATCTATCTATCTATCTATCTATCTATAAATCTCCTTTGAGAAGATCTGGTTTCATTTTCGTTATGAAAGGACTGGTACTTTTTAGAGAAAGAGGAAAAAAGTAATTTAGTAAATTAGTAAATCAGAGGAGGAGAAGAAAAATACTCAGTTTGTTTCTTAGATTCTGATGAACAGCGGCGATCAGTAAATATTCCCCTAGTACCAATGTATGAACACGTTGCTTTCCTAAGATACAGAGACGAGCACTCACCAAAGGGGCCCGCAATCCTGAGGCCAGCTAATGGGTTAAAGGGAGTCAGTGCTGCTCCCAGGGCCCTGATCCACACTGGGATTGGTCTGTCTTGATCGGCAAGGTCCGGTCGCTCAGGAAAACCCCAAGGCTCCACCAAAATGAGATGATTAACCCTGTTGGAGGAAGAAGAGAAACAATTTCATTTGGCAAACTCAGCCCAGGACTCTAAAGAATGAACATAATTTATAAAGCAAAGGTAGAATAAGCCACCTTCAAAAGCTTTCATATGAAGGAGAATGGCTGACCAGTTACATCATGTTCTTATTACTTTTAGATCTGACAGGACGTGAGAGGCTTATGGCAGGAAGAGGGCTTCCTTTCTCATGTACGTAAACGTGGATGGTAACGGGTGTGTGGAAGAGTGCATAACTGTGTGGCTCTTCCCGAGGACGGGGTCTGCTGTTGTTGAGGCGACCCTCGGGCAGACGGTATAGATCACTGATCCCTCAGAAAAGCCCAACGGTTCTGAGTGGCTCAAGGCTGACACTGTAGAAACGACTGAGGATTAAGATTACCCTCAGAAAACAGCTTCAGAAACCAACAACACTTATCTCCTATGAAACAATCATTCTAAAAATTTAAGAGGCATTAGCACTTTAGGTGGGTTCAAAAAGACTTTTAAATAAACTTTCCACAAACACAGATAAGGGGCTAATTAATAATATGGGCGGAAATTTCTCCTAGTTTGGGTTTCTAGTTTGGTAAACATGAGACTACCCATGAGATCGTTGATACACTGATACCGGATTCCGTTCTAACCCTCTCCTAATTTTCTTCTTTAATGACCAAAGAGAGAGAAAATTCTCAGCCCCAGCGCATATAAAATCCTTTCTTTTCACTGACAGCTTAACTTGTTCCATCTGACGAAACCTCCTCCTGAAGAGGGAGGACCTGAACTACAGGCACTACCACGTGCCTGCAACACGGCGGCCTATGTCGTAAAGGTCCCAAATAGAGCACAAAGGTCCTCGTGACTCAAATGATATTCAACTATAACCAAAACAGCCAACAAACGCCAGCAAAAACTTCCAAAGGAGAAACTGACAATGATTCTACTGTCCCTTCCCTAAGTCATTATGAAACAAAAAGGTGACGAGGCCAGAATGTGGGCACGGCAGGCTACTGTTGATAACGTAAAATGTTTTATTATTTTTGCCACCACAGATAAAGATGAGTTCATAATGAGTCCTTTGCTGTGACTGCATGGTCTCAAGCAGAAAGCTTTAGAGTACAGACCCAGAGCACAGAGCTCCAAGGGCCCCTGAGAATCCTCAGCCCAACCTTTCATCTCACAGACGAGAAGGAAGAGGAGGGCACTGTGTGACCTGCACCGGGACATAAAGCTAGTTAATGCACAAGCAGGGCTACCCCCCTTTCTTGATTCCAGTAAACTGAACAGTGTCAGCAAGCCACTGAGCAGAAAGTCCTCTCTTCTAAGAACAGGCCGAGCAGCCTAAAGATAACGTATCAGTAAAGGCAACGCTTAACTTGTATCAGCTCTAGGCCAGTCCTCACCCCATACTCTAGATTTCAGAGCACTGGATGTAGGCTGTAGAATGTAGCTACAAATCTTGGGTGGAGATGTGTAATAAGGGAGCTTTCCATATACTTAAGAGTGCCTTCGCTGTTTAAAAGTTTCATGAGACTATTTTCTATTGGTGGAATGAGAAGGGGAACGAAAAGGAGGGTGTTTGCTTTTTTAATGGCAGAGACTAACTGATAATCGACTTCCTCTTAAATTCCTCTTATTACAGCCCACAGTGAGACCTGAGGGCCGGGGAGAGGAAGGCATGCCAGAGGTCTAAGTGGAATTAGTGAGACAGTCACCTCGTTGAAAGCAGCAGAGACTCCCATTAGGAAATAGCTAGTAGTATTCACTATTGACTCGGCTCCTAAAGAGAATCATGAACTCTTTATTAAAACATACTTTACCTTAAAGATGATTAAATTTTGTTATGAATTTATTTGGGGATCCTGCCCAGTCTGTTCTGGGCTCGTACGGATATGCTCACTGAAGAAGGGGGGAGGACAAAGGAAACCATGAGGGAGATCAAGTCTGGTCTATCTCTAGCTAAGGGATTGCTTCATTTCCACCTTAGTTTTGGCTTGTCTGGTTTAATACAGATCTTCAAAATCGCATCCCTAGATAAAAATGCCAGTTTAAGACGACTACTTTTTTTTTTTTTTTTTTTTTGAAGGGAGTGAATCACCCCAACAATTACCAACAATTGTTTAGTCTTGGTCTTCAGCCTAGCATGGTGCTTAGCACACAGGAGATGCTCAGTAAACATCTGGAGTATTAGGTTTTTCTAGGTTTCTATTTGGAAAGGAAAGCATATAAGTACATACAAATTTTATAAACTATACTCATCAAGTAAGTACAGCAGTTAGTGCTGTCTGGATGTTTCTGGTTCCCCAGGTGACATTAGAACATCATTCTTATTTTTTATATTAATCTTGCAGGTCACTACCCATTAGTGGGTAGTAAAATCCACATAGAGAATCAGAGTCAGTCAGCTGGTCTTTTTAATTGCATAGCTTGGAATAGAAAAATATACGACAAGTGTATCATTCCATGAAGCTTTTATTTCAGACACACATATAATTCTTAGTGAGAGATTATAGTCAAAAAAGTTTGAAAACAATTTTTTAAAAGCTCTGCAACAGTGTCTAAACTGGAGTTACATATCATCTGCCTCCACTACATGTAAAATGCCTCAAAAAATAACTTGCTTATTTTTGGTTATAAGACTTTTAAATGAGCCACTCCATGTGGCTATGGAGTAATAAATATCCAGGAAATGTTATCTTGTTATAGTAGCAAAACTAGGAAGCTACTAGAGAAGACTTTTTCCAGGGAGCATGAGAAGACAGTGGCCAGAACCATGTGAGCAGTGAGCAATTGAGCTTTTCATTTTCAGGAAAGCCTGATCAAAGGTAGGCTCACAGCTTATTATAACCTCGCACCAGTCCAAGTTCCCAGGCTACCTTCTCACCAACTCTTCTAGCGCCAAGATTATCTCCTTTGACAGAAGTTATTTGGTTTTAATGTATATCTAAACTATTATAGTAATCTAGACTCAACACTCTGATATCCCATAGAGGGTAGCCTGATGCGATTGTTAGTTCACATCCAGTATTAAGGAATGAGTCTAACAAGATGGCACACAGCAGTCATCTGTCCTATCAGACTTCTTTGTCAAGGAATAGAGACTGATTCAAACTACAGGAAAAACAAAGAACTGGCAGAGCAGGAAGAGGGAACAGCCTATCAGTTTTGAAACACTAAAGAGGCATTCTTCTTCAAATTAGTCATTGGAGTAGGTCTTGAATTTGAAGATGGTGTGCAGATTACAGCCTAAAGGGTGGAGCCATGGTTAATGTCTGCTCCAACAGGATGGGATGGCTGAGTCTGAACGCTGCTACCAACGGTATATTATATAAACCTGCTTTTCACAAGCTTTAAACAGCCATCAGCCAGAAATAATGCAAGAAGAACAATCAGACCTAGAGCCAAAAAGCACAAGGGAATCAACAGGACCTACCTACACAACAAGGAAAGGAACAAGGAGAAGAAGAGGAAGAATTCTATTCGGTGTACAGGCAAGGCATTCTCAACATGAAGTCAGCCCCAGGGACTTCTGGTTGGCTCCGCACCTCTGGGGGGAGAGTGCAGCAGCTCAGAGAACAACAAACTGAAGACCCCCCAACTTCAGGTCTAGTAGAGGAGCCTTTCTTCTCAAGAGGGACTGGCAGGGAATGCTCAGCCCATCTCTGTACAGGTAGGAGACAGAGCCAGGCAAGGCCACAGTCAGAAGATCTGAAAGTCATTTAGTCAGAAGTAAAAACCTGTTGTAACCTCTTCTAGTCTCTGTGCTAAACACTTCCTAAAATAATAAAAGTTTCTACAGTGGCCTTTTCTTTAGTTTATAACAAGGTATTTATGGTGTCCTGAAAAGTAGGGGCCAGAAGGAAAGGAAAATTAACACGGAAAAGTGCACAGATGGAAGGAGATGGCATGTCTGGCTATTACTGCTGGCTTACTCCACGCTCTCCCTGTGCCCACCTTAAGGGGATCAGACACAGCCTGAGGAGGTGGCAGAATGGCAGCCCATGACACCTCACACCACAAGTGGCCCTACTGTTTGTGACACAGCACATGAATCTACAAGTGAAACTAGGATGGCATCTCTAATACACATCATGTAAGAGAACTGAGATGAATGAAGGTCATATGGGGGATGGAACATGGTAACTGTGCCCCCACTTAAAGAAATCCACAAACCAGTTTGTAACTTCTCTGCTCATCAGCCACACAGCCTTTCCAGAACAACCCAAGCTGTCCACCTAGCAATTTCTTTCCACACTGCCTAGAACACTCTCCTGCTGCTCCCCTTGAGACTTGACCTCAGCTTACACTGCACTTCTCTAGGGTATCACACTGGGCCAGGTCCTCATCACGAGCTCTCACAGACCTGCCCACTCCCCCTTCACGATCCTCAGCAGCTTCATGCTCCTCAGGGGGGTAAGTTGTGTCTCTTCTCCAGCACATCTCGAGCCTTCTAAACACATACAGTCTCTCAACATTCTTTAGGGGCGCCTGGAGGGCTCAGTCGGTTAAACGTCCGACTTTGGCTCAGGTCTTGATCTCACAGTTCATGAATTTGAGCCCCTTGTTGGGCTCCATTCTGACAGCCCAGAGCCTGGAGCCTGCTTCAGATTCTGTGTCTCCCTCTCTCTCTGCCCCTCCCCTGCTCATGCTCATGCTCTTTCTCTCTTTCAAAAATAAACAAAATTAAAAAAATTATATAAAAAAAATTCTGTAAACACAACTAACCTGGTGGAATATGTTAAAGTATTTCATCCATTACCAATATTCCAATGGAACCATCCCACTGCTTTAACACAAAGCATCACGACTGCTGAATGCTCAGTTTCTAGTCAGTATTAAGGACCAGGAAAATATGTGACCACTGCCACAAGTGAGGCCATGAAACGACTTTTATGGACAGAGGCCCTCGGCTGCTCATAGAAGACATGAAGTATCTACGTTGACCTAATGTATCAAAACTCAGAAAAAAATGGATTGGGTTTTACCTGTTCTCTAGCAAAAGAATGCTTCCTAAACAAGTACATGAAACTAGTAAACTAGGCACTATCATTCTTTTCCTCAAACTTCCCTATAAAAATAAAAAAGGAAGAGAAGGATGGGGCTGCCCATATAAGATGAGAACAGAAAGTGGAATGGACTGTTATCTTTGGTTTTTTTCCTACATGCATAGAAACAGAAATTAAAGGAGCTGTTATTTTACTTCAGAAAGAAAAAGAAAGATTATATTTGTTATACTGGAGGAAACAAAGAAAAAGGTAACTCTCTCAAAGTCCATTAGGAGAAAACAGAGAGACACAGTGAGTAAAGGAAATTAAGTGAATCTCATCTGATCTCAATTAGACCGTTTTTTCCTTCTTCTCAACCCCTCCCTGAAAAATCTTTCTGAAGAGCAAAGATTTATATTTTTTAATGCTTATTTACTTTTGAGAAAGAGAAAGAGAGAGAGAGAGAACGGGGGAGGACATTTACCTGAAGTGGGCTCTGGGCTGACAGTCATGAGCCGATGCGGGGCTCAAATCATTGGCTCACATCGTGAGACCATGACCTTTGCTCAAAGTCAGATGCTCAATCGACTGAGCCACCAGGGTAGCCCTCCAAGATTTATTTTAATCTCATGACAGCACAATAAAAATGACACCTGTGGGAAAGGCTATGTGTGTGCAGAAGCAGGAATTATATGAGAAATGTCTGTACCTCCCGCTCAATTTGGTTGTAAACGTAAAACTGCTCTAAAAAAACTGAAATCTTTTCAAAAAGCTGGATCAAGTGAAAGCTGGATAAGAGACATTTTGAGTAGGCAGTTCCATACTCCGTTAATACTGTTAAAAGATAACGGAGGCATATTGAACATTTTAAGAGTTCATTTGAGCAAAACTGTGTGTGTGCCAGTGCCGAACCCAAGTGGGCAGATGTGCTCTGGCAACCGGGAGCGGGCACAGGCTTACACAGAGAAGGTGTTGAAGCAAAGAAAGACATGATCTGATTGGCTGCAGCTTAAAGCCAAGCTGGCTATTTGTGATTGGCTGTTCTTAGGTTTCAATTTCATAACCTTGAGGGCCTTACAGGCTTAGATTTTATTTGCTTTTGGAGGCCACTAGAGCGTGAGAGCCACCTCAGTCTGATGGCCTCCTTGTTTCATGAATGTAACACTGGGCACCCACTATGTGCCAACCACAGCGGTCTGACCGAATTTCATTCGCGACCTGGGATATCTGAAAATCCAGAGAACCTCACTATTTTGAAATTAACTTGTGTTTGATAATGTAAGTTATACAGGTAAGAATATGGACTTGAGTATCCAACATGGTCCATAGAGTTCTTCTCAAATCCTGGGTTGCAATCACCCAATTTAAAAATGCTAATTACTTCAAGCATTCTCTTAGTCGTTCTTGGTCCTGAACCAATACTTTAGTTTTATTTCTAGCATTAGGCACAAGCATTCAAAGCTCATTTTCTAAAATGTAGTCGAGCACAGGGATCACTAGCTTTGTTTTAGATACATGTTGAGCCCACCATGTTATTCAAAGTATGCTGCTATTCTCTTTCCTAGATAGTTTTAAAGTGCTTTTCTCCACTGGGTGTTGTAAGTGAAGAATCACTGCAGTCTACTCCTGAAACCAGTATTTCACTGTATGCTAATTAATATTTAAATTTAAAAAATAATTCAAGTACTCATTCTCTTTTGAATCACTGATTTCTTCAGAGTATTTCCTAATTGCAAATGAAAATCTCACCAACTGACTATATAGCCATGAAGGGTCAGGATTCATGGCCAGGGTCTAGCCACCATAGTCCTGTATCATATCGCCAAAGAATAAATACCACAAGATACACGTAATACACCCCTAGATAAGAAACACAGGAAGCCCAACCTCCCCCAACCCCTGCTTCACCAACAAAAAGCCCTGTTATCTTATACCAGGAAAGTATCTGCTTCCTTCTCTTACTTTCCATTGAGAGGACCACACAGTAAGAGATAGTAAACCCCAAAAGCCAACTAGAAAAAGAAAATCTGGATTTTTTTTTGAAAGAGGGGTCTATCATTTGACAAGATTACAACCATCTAGCACACACAGACTACAAACTCTCCAAGATTGGGGGGAGGGGGAGTAGGTGTTAATGCTAAAGTTGAGACAGAATCTGTACAGAAAAAGTTGGCTGTTCAAGGGGAAGGAAGCCTCAGGTACGCAGGGCTGCTGCCCACACTTCAGAGCTTGTGTCAACAGCACGCCTGAAGTCACGTGATAGGGTGGCCTCACAGGTGCATGTGTGCAGTCTGAAACGACCACCATCCTGTATCTTGTTCACAGACCTCATTGTCAAAGTTGGTTGCAATTTTGGATTTAAAAATTAGTCCAATGGAAAAATACACTGGCAACACAAAAATGTTGATTTTTTGGGTCTCTTTCCGAATGACAAGATAAAAATAAATTAATTTAAAAACTCAGCTTTTCTCCCATTTTCTTAGCACTCAAATGTGACCTTTACTCAGAGATGAAACATAATAGGAAATAGCAAAATAAAATAAGGTAGAGAAAGAAAGCAGATGCTGCAAAGAATCTGAAGCAAAATTCTCAAGTCATTAATTCAAAATGACTGAAAGAGAAATCTGTAACAATAAAGGTAGGGCACATATAATAAAAACCCTGTCAGATACACTATGCAGATATATTTTCTGTTCTCTACAAGTGAGAAAACTAAAGCTTCCAGGTTGAGGGATTTGCTCTAAGCCAAAAGATAACACTGGCCCCCAGGACTTCTAATTTCTTACCTTTGGGTCCTGTTATGGCTTATTATAACCTGAAAAAGGTTAGGAAAAGCCTGCTCGATCCACAGATCTAATGATAACAATAACAATAAACGATACCACTAAAACAATTCTTTTTTTTAATGTTTTATTTATTTTTGAGACAGAGAAAGAGAGAGGGAAGGAGAAAACATGAGCGAGGGAGGGGCAAAGAGAGGGGGAAACAAAGAATCTCAAGCAGGCTCTGCACTGTCAGTATGGAGCCCAATGTGGGTCTCAAACTCACAAACCGTGTAATCATGACCTGAGCCAAAATCAAGAGTTGGACACTTAACCAACTGAGTCACCCAGGCCTCCCACCACTAAAACAATTCTCACTATGGTTTAAATTGTAGACACACTAAAAGCTTGGCAAATAGAAAGTCCTTTCCCCAAGCCTCCTGCCAATGTTTAGCACGGGTAACAAGAAAACCCTGACATCATTACTTCAGCCACTAAGTTTGGCCACTGGTTGTGCCTATTTGGTCTCCAGGATGGTCTAAGAGAATCTGTCTTGTAAGGCTCAAACAGCAACCACCATCACAGACAGAACGAGAGACCAGCAGCTGGGTGCCTCTCTCCTATCGCCACCACTTACCTTGATGGGTACTTCAGTGAGTAAGCGGCAGCCAAGAACCCACCCAGGTTGTGTCCAAGCAAGATCATTTTGTCCAATCCCAGGGCACATCTCCACTCTTCAATGGATTCCACAAACTGATTCTCCACTTCTTCCGCATCACTGTCAAACCTGGGCCTACTGCTTCGCCCAAAGCCCAGCAGGTCAAAAGCATAGACGGGTCTATTGGTGCAAAGATCTTCATAATTCAGTGCCCAGAGTCCAAGACCTCCTCCAAAACCATGGAGGAGGACAAGCGGAGTCTTATTTGAAACATTATGAGAGAACGTCAGTGTCCATATTTTATTTCCATTAGATATACGAACAGGTTCTTTTTTGTATATGCAGGGGACACCTAATGAAAACATAGAAAAGAAATTCTGCTTAGTTTCTCTCCTGAGAAAAGGAGTATTCTCAAGCAATCAGAAATTAATAATCTTCTAGACTGCCTGGTATCAAGTCACAGGATTTTAGCCTTTATTAGGTCATTCCAAACAAGAAAAAAAGAAAAAAGAAAAGAAAAGAAAAGCCTACATCTTATTGAAGCAAGTAATTCTCATCTAAGTGGGAAGATCCATCTCAGAGAAGACTCAAGTACCTGCTGCCAAGGCCTTTTGGCAGGTTATGTCATTTCTTTGGACTTGTTTTCGCATTTACCAAATGAGGGTCTTATGCTCCTAGAAATGGAGAGGAACTTAGTGCTCACTGGGCCCATTCTTTGGAGGTCTCTAACTGTGCAGACTATAATAAAAGAATACCTTGAATTTGTCTAACAATAGAGGATGAATCTCTGAAGATTGAAGTCAGACTCTAAGGAAACATTTTTCCCTAAAAAGTGACCGGGAATTTAGGGAAGGACTAACAGTATCTGTATTAAACACATAACTGAAACCGTTAAGTCATTTCAAAGCTTAGTAGAAAAGAGGTGACAGGGTTTGGTACGAAGTCTTGGCATGAGGTGCCAGGTACGGCTCAAGTCCAACAATTTCTCTAGATAATCCAAATAATCACAATTTTGTCGATAACAACTTTTACTCGCCTTCAATGCTGTGGGACTCAGTACTTTAAATCTCCCCCCAAACTGACTAAAGACGAGACCAATTTGAAATCCCTTTATGTTAAATTATAAGCTGAATTACTGACACCTTAGATACACCACTTATCTGCCCATGTTCATCTGCAGTGGACAAGCACTGGAGAGCTGGGAGTTTCTGCCCTTTAACCAAAGAAATAATCTCAGGCTTTGGACCACATAAGTAAGGGGAAGCGCAGCATTCATTCAGAGTATTAACAGAGGCCAGGCCTCCCAACGAGGGCAAATGCCACCAGGTTAGAAAAGGAGATGACCCGGCATTAGTAACAAACCAAGCAAACCAAACCTCGTCAGCATTCTGAACACAGAGGTCTGCATATCCCCATGAAAACCAACTGTAGCCTCTGTTAGAGAGCTCTGCCCACTTGCTTCACATCTGATCCTGACCCAGGGGCCAACTCTCATTCCGTTCTGCAAGCCTAGAATCCATCGGCAGGGAATCTGCAGGGAACCAGTAAGCACCCCGGCTGTTAAGTATACCCAGGGATACCAGGACTGCCCTAGCACTACAAGTGTGGGTAAGTTTCAGTGCTCATGAGAAATTTTTAAAAAAGGTTTCCATACCACTAAAATGCAGAATTAAAGAATCCTAAGAAACTAGAACCAGAAGCAACTTTAAGGATCATCCTGCCCCTTCTTTTTATAGGTAACAAAAGGGACACTAACAGTGGCTTATCTAAGACGTGGACACCACCTGCCTGCAGACATGGGCCTGGCCTCGGTCACCTCGTTCCAGTCCAGTACGTGCTTCACCGCACAAGGCTACCTGTTCTCGCACACCTGGAGCATGTTGTCAGGTGTAGTCAGGGACACCTGAGGAGTCCCCGAGATCCTTCCAGGAGATCTGGGAGGTCAAAACTACTTTCATAACAGAACGAATTTTTTCTTTCATTCTTTGATAGGTATGCAGCGGAGTTTTCCAGAGATCACACAGATGTGACTATCAACAGTCTTAATGCCACAGCAGACATGACAGTGCAGCTACCTTATATTAGGCCAAACATTAAAGAGATCTGCAAACAATGCTACTTTTCTTGCTACATTTCTGTCTGGAAAGTAGTTACTTTTAGAAAACACGTTATTTATTTTATTCTATAACAGGTTTCTTACTATTATTTTAAAATGAGTAAATTAACATATTACAAATAATTCCATTTTAATTTCTAGTTGGTAAATATTGATACTTATAACTGATAAACAAAGCTCCTTGAGGTTCTAACTAACTTAAGTCCTTAATTAATTTATAATGGGGGGGCACCTAGGAATCTCAGTTGGTTGAGTGTCCAACTTTGGCTCAGGTCATAATCTCACCACTTGTGGATTCGAGCCCCACGCTGGGCTCTGTGTTGACAGCGCAGAGCATGGAGCCTGCTTCTGAGTCTGTATCTCCCTCTCTCTATGCCCCTCCCCTGCTCACGCTGTCTCTCTCTTAAAAATAAACATTAAAAAAATTTTTTTTAAAAAGAGTATAGTAGGGGGGGTGCCTGGGTGGCTTAGTTGGTTAAGCGTCTGACTTTCGCTTAGCCCATAATCTCGCGGTTCATGGGTTCGAGCCCCGCATCGGGCTCGGTGCTGACTGCCAGCTCAGAGCCTGGAGCCTGTTTCAGTCTGTGACTCCCTCTCTCTCTGACCCTCCCCTGCTCACACTGTCTCTCTCTCTCTCTCTCTCTCCTAGAAATTAAAAAAAAAAAAAAAAAAAGAGTATAATAGGGACCCAAGACCAAAAGTTTGAGAACCCGTGCCTCCGAACACTTCTGCACTTGTTAATAACATGGAAAAGGGGAAAAGTACTTTTGCTAACACACTAACAGCCCACAGAACCTTATCTCCAGTTTCTGGGCAATGTGATCTATGAGATCTATTTTAGCAAATCGCTCAGTTAACTTACAGGGAGAAAACCTTACATTTTAAAATTTTCTCTTCAGCTTCTTTAAGGTGTGATGTAGATGTAGGGCACCAGGTAGGAAGCCAACCGGTTAGCCATCCTGACCTAGAGCAACAAAAACAAAATACAAAGAGATATGTCAATGCTCTTCGCAACTCCCAGCTGTTACATGTGAAGAAAAGCAGAACAGAAAACTTATAGTCTATGTGATGGTGAAGTTACCTACCTGTGGCAGCACCCAATACACACAAAGCATTGCGGTCAAGTCCTGGGCAACAGACATTCAACCTCGCCTGTGAACTTACAGGTAGATACAGCGGGCCTACAGTGACCTGGTTAACTGTTAATGAAAATGCTTCAGGGTCCAATAAATAGTAGATTAAAGAATGAGCCAGGTACCTGGCAGGGGACAAAGAAGAGGGCCTGAGGCAACCAGTAAGGCAAGGTGTGGGGACACTAGAAAAGATGGGCTTTGCTAGTAGCTAACGGAGCAGAGGATGAACCTTTAACTCCTGGCCTGGCAGCAGCGGGCCACAAGCTTATCCTCACAATCTGGGATAAAGGAACGCTTCAGCGGTTCTAGGACACCTAGCACGAGCTAGCTCCTAACCAGGAGTATCTCAAGTGAGAGCTTCCTGATTAAAGAGAAAACCAGAGAAGGAAGACAAACTACTGCAGGTTCCAGATGAGAGGTCTGGGCCTAAACCAAACCTTTGGCAACAAGAAGATGAAGCCAAGGAATATTTAAAAATAAAATAGGCCAGAGGATACAAACTAGAAAATACAACTAGAAGAGGCCTAAGTTCTGGAGATCTAAAGCACAGCATACTGACTATGGTCAGTAACACTGCACACTTCAAAACTAAGAGACCAGATCTTAAATGTTCTCACCCCATGACAGAAATGGTGATTATGCAATGTTATAAGAGGTGTTAGCCAAAGTGTAACCAGACTGCAGTATACAAATGTATATAACTGTATCAAATCAACGCAGTTGATTTGTTGATAAACTTATACAATGTTATATGAAAGGGGGGGACAGTGGAATCTAATGGAGGAAACAGGGGACCCAGCAACTACAATACATGATGGAATTAATTCATTTCACAGGATAAAGTCACAGGACAAAGTCACATTCCTTAGACCTGCATGGAAAAAAAAAGATACACAGTAGCCTGCATTATAACCAGGCTCCACTCCAAATATTCTCTGTGCTAGTTTCAAACCTTCTACATTAACAGAGTAAGATGATATGGTCCCTAGGCACCCCCACAAATGTCACTTATGCCTTATTATCAAGGTGTAAACATAATAGAAAACATCATTATTAGTCTATAAATATATAAGGCTATTTACAAATTATCAAGGAAAAACAATTCAAAGTTTTAGCAATGAGTTTTTCAATCACTCAACAATTTGTCAATTGTTGGGAAAAAAGTAGTGAATAGGCAATTAAAACAATCTCCTGATCTTTATAGAGCTTAAAATTTAAAATGTAAACCATTATTAAGCTGAAGCTCTTTTGTCCTTAACCAGGAATGGTCATCAAAGTCTGTTAGGCCACAAAAATAAGAGCTAGTACCAGGAGGAAGTTACTTACACCTCATTCTCATCAGTGTTTTTATATATCCCTCAAACCATAGCACAGTTCTTTGCCAGAGAGAATCAGAGGTTAGCATTAACTAAATAAGTAAATAAAGTGAAATGAACTATAATTTACTAGGGCTCCAGAAGATATCACAGACGTGTTGGGGCAAAGAAAACACAATGCAGTCTTTGTTTCAGTCTTTTTTTTTTCCCTGAAGTTTATTTATTTTGAGAGACAGAGAGAGAGAGAGAGAGAGAGAGAGAGAGCGCACATGCAGTTACTGCATGCAGGAACAGGGGAAGGGCAGACAAAGAGGGAGAGAGAGAATCCCAAGCAGGCTCCATGCCCAGCACAGATCCTGACACAGGGCTCCATCCCATGAACTGTGAGATCATGAACTGAGCCAAAATCAAGAGTCAGATGTTCAACCTACTGAGCTACTCAGGTGCCCCATGTGACAGTCTTTTAGAAAAATTTACATTCTCTGGATACCTAGTATGTTCACGTCCTTGAGTTTAAAATGTTATATACCAGCCTGCAATATAGGAATTATGCCTACTGCTCATTAGAAAACCAGCTTTTAGGGGCACCTGGTGGCTCAGTCGATTAACTGTCAGACTTCGGCTCAGGTCATGATCTCATGGTTTGTGGGTTCAAGCCCCTCCAGCTCAGAGCCTGGGGCTTGTTTGGGATTCTGTTGTCTCCCTCTCTCTCTGACCCTTCCCTGCTCACTCTGTCACTCTTTCTCTCTCTCAGAAATAAATAAAACATTAAAAAAATTTTTAACAAAAGAAAGAAAACCAGATTTCAAAGGACAGGAGGTCTTGTCCACATTTCTGCCTCCTACTAACGGTCTTAACTCAAAGAGAAAAGGCAAAACAACATTTTTATGTTTACGAGTCTAGTGCATTACACTAGAACTCCGGGCGTTTGAACCACAAGAGCTACTAATCCTCTTCAGGTTTTCAAGGCAATCTTTTTATCAAAGCAGGTAATTGTTTTTAAGTGGAGTTTTTCTGAAGTATATTTAAACTGAAAAATCTATATTTAACAAAGCATAGTAAAATACACTCACTGGAACTGTAAAGAAACCTCTCCTCTTGTAAGCCTTGATAACATTCCTGTCCAATCAGTTTTGCCTAAAGCAGATGAAAAAATGTTTTATAGAAACTGTCTTCTACTTCTTTCTTAGACATACTCTTCACGATTGAGTCCAACATACGTAATGGGCTCAAAGGAACGTTTCTGAAGAGTAGAAAGCTGGGGTCTATCTTTTCTTCCTTTTCTTGATCATTGATCACTCTTTGTTCCCAGTTCCCACGCTTGAGCTTGCCACATCTATTGCTTCAACCCCACAAACACTCGGCAGACTTCACCTCCTGCCTTCATGGTAAATTAACCTCTACTGCTGAGAGACCGTCTGCCCCTTCCACAAGCTCTCCTAGGTCCTCTGGTGCTGTTCTGCCTTCTAGGCTTAGCATGGGAAACGGGAACTACGGACCAAGGCTGAAGTTTGTCAGATAGACAGCAATTCTTCTGAGGTCATGAAATCCAAAGTAAAAATGAAATTCACGTGGCCCAGGTATAAAACAGTAAACAAGCAAACAAACAAAAAGGGTAGCCAAGATACAGGCTGCCTCCTCATAGCTTCTGAAAAAAACAGAAAGCAAAACTTCCCTGTTTTATTTAAGCAGGGGATAAACCCCATTAATCGATAAACCCCATTCATCCACTGGCTGGGGCTCTAACTTCAGAAGCAGCCCAAATGTCAATGCCAATATAAAGAAAGAGGCATTCACCATGGGGGCTCACACCTGTCCAGGACAACAGGAAGACTTCACCGCTGTGCATCAAAATGTTTTCTATGCAGCCCCATTCGCTGAGCACTGACCTATGAGCAAGGCTGAGGGCCCAAGCCCTAGAGCATCTAATCAAAAGCCAAATAAAAGGAATCTTTCTTTATAATCTCTATAATAAAAACAGACAAAGAATCTTTTTAGTGAGCAGACTTCTGAGTTAAAAAGTTAAAAAAACAGAATTTGAAAGACTACATTAGAGGTGGCAATTCTAAGACAAAAAAGAGGTGCTCAACATATCAGTAGTTTAAGAGTTAGAGAGATAAAACACTGAATTTTTTACCTTAACTTTCTACCTAGTTTTAAAAATATCATTAACATTGTATTTATACTCTATTGCCATCAACATTTAAGCTTCCTGGTAATCCCTGTTTTGTTCTCTAAGACATCTGACTATCTATAGTATTACCAAACCTGAGTTGCACAATCTATAAACATTGGGAAACAGGTTTCAAAGTTTTCTGAAGAAAATATACAGAAGGCTGGCCAATTTCCACACACTGTTGGCCACTTAAATAACATTTCTAATTAGGTTACAAGTAAAGAGGATTTCATTATATTACAATTTTGTTTACTATGGCCTTCATCTCTATACTGGTAATGTCAAGAGAGAAAAGCTGTCTATTACTGCTCTCTATCTGACTCTAAGCATAGTATTCTCTCTCATTTAGAGAAATCGTGAGGTTTTGCTTCTTTCATAAATATCCAAACTAGAGGTGTGAATATATATATATTCCTCTAAAATAGTTCCTCAACCAGTGAATGATTAAAAACTTTCAAAGTGGACATTACAACACTTTTGCAAATAAAGGCCTTCTTTCCTGGGTAATGGTTTCCTAAATCCTATTCTTGAAAAGAGGAAACAAAAAGAATATGTCTCATATAACCATAATTTAGGTGAAACAAGCCCTTTTATTTTAAATAAATACGTGATTCAAATGATCACTAACCATTAGATCAATGACAATCCAAGCCCCTTTGTTATATTTTAATATATTAATTCATATTCTTTAACTTTTTACCCCTTATATTTCTAACATGTAAGTTTCAAAGACCCAGAGCTGGAGAATCAGTATTTTAGACACAGTCATGTGCTGGTGATATTTTTTCCCCCAATTGTTTCCTGCCTTCTTTCACACAGTAAACAGCATTCTGGAGTCAGACACGGCATCAAACATACTTAAATAGAACTACAGGTGTACTTTTAGATTTACCCTGCTTAACAAACCTAAGTGATATTTCACGTCAGTTCTAAAATAAGTTTATCTTAGTAGGATCTGGGTGGCTCAGTCGGCTGAGTGACCGAGTTCAGCTCAGGTCACAACCTTGCAGTTCACAAGTTCGAGCCTCGTTTTCGGGCTCTGTGCTGACAACTGAGATCCTGGAGCCTGCTTCAGATTCTGTGTCTTCTCTCTCTCTGCCCCTCCCCTGCTCATGCCCTGTCTCTCTCTCTCAAAAATAAATAAAAAACATTTTAAACAATTTTTTAAAAAGCTTTAAAATAAGTTTACCTACCAGATTAAAAACTAAAAATCCCAGATAAAACTGAATAATTTAAACAATTTTTTAATATTTATTTTTGAGAGACGGACAGAGCGCCAGTGGAGGAGGGGCAGAGAGAAAGAGAGACACAGAACCTGAAGCAGGCTCCAGGCTCTGAGCTGTCAGCACAGAGCCCAATGGAGGGCTCGAACTCGTGAACTGCAAGATCGTGACCTGAGCTAAAAGTCAGTTGCTTGGCCAACTGAGCCACCCAGGCACCCCAATAACTTTAATAAAATCATTTCTGCACACAATTTTTTTTATCATTCACAATCAGAGGTGAGGAATTACAGAACCATGAGGTTAGATTAAAAACCTAACAATATTTCTGAATGGCAATAACAAGTAATAGAAGTCAAATCCTTAAGAGCTCCATTCAGAGTCATCTGTAATTCTCAAATGTACTATCTATCCAGTGTTGTTTTCATTAAGTGGACCATCCTGGGACTTTACAATCTTTTGTTAAGTTCTTTGTCACAGCACTAAAATTCCATTTGCTGGTCTGTGACTGACATTTTGGAGAAAAGGCAGAACAATGAAGTATGAGTTGGTTCATACAAGGTCAAGAAATAGAATCATATCCCCAACCTCTTCAATATAACTTAAGTTCATGATCTTAATTGTTAACCTAGTCAAATTCAAACTTTGAATTCTTATGAATGTATCTTTTGATGTTCTTTGACTATCATAGGATGTAAAAATATCAAGCAACAAAGCTGCAAAATATATAATCAATTACCAGGTCTTTTTGTCTTAATGTTTGTGTCAGCATAAATTCACAATATTGACATGTTTAATTCAATAAGCATTAATTAAAGCTTACTATTTACAAAGGGCTTTAGGCTCTACCGAACATTTGAGTATGACAAAAGCTTTGTCCTCAATGCGCAGACGAAACAAATATACAAATACCTATATGAGAAAACATGATGTGAGTACCATCAAGGTAAACAACACAGCCCTTTAGGGAAGGGCGATTATAATCTGTTTCAGGTCAGAGACAATCGTGTGAACCAAGCCATGGGAGGAAATAGAAGGAACATGTGAAACAGTGAAAGACTAGAGCCCAGTGCAGAGGAGGAAGTAAGACTCCAAAGACAGGTAAGAGCCACAGTGTCTGCAAAGGGCTTAGAGTCAGGCTGAGTACATATAATAAACTCACTGAATGTAGCTATGCTACAAACAAGACTGTGATTCTTGGAGGGGCATAACAGTAACTAATGAAATAAGCTATGTTGAAAGCATAGGAACAAAACGTGTTTCTATGGATTAAAGAGCCTGCTACAATCCAGAAAAGGGAATAAGAAGCATTTGACTCAGGTGGTTCCGCAGCGACACTGAAATGGAAAGCTGATGTACTTAGAATCAACTGGAATTGGTAGATTTGGTATTCAGGGCAATGAAGATGGAAGGGGGCAGTCAAAAGATCAGGCCACAGTTCTGAACCCGGATGACCAAAAGAACGGAAGTGCCCTAATGAAAATAGGGAAGTCAAGGGGAAGAACCGGACCTTTTGTATTGTTTAGTTCAGGAGAAGAAAAGGGGAAAACAGGATCTGAGTCTTGTTAGGAATGTTACATTTAAGGAATGAGGTGCAAACATCTGGCACACAGTTAGAAACAACACTAGAATACTAAAGAGGATGACATCTCAGTTCTCTCCACAGAAAAGATACTTCAAGGACTCTAAGTACAAGACATTTAAAGAATGGGAAAGGAGCACTTCGGTGGCTCAGCTGGTTGAGCAGCTGACCTGGGACTCAGGTAGTGATCTCTCGGTTCTTGAGTTCAAGCCCTGTGCTGACAGCCCAGAACCTAGAGCCTGCTTCCCATTCTGTGTCTGTCTCTCTCTCTGCCCCTCCCACTCACACTCTGTTTCTCTAAAAAATAAACAAACATTAAATTTTTTTTTAAATGGAAAAAGAAGAGAACCTAATAGAAGTCACTACTGGTCTGAGGCAGCAGAAAAAGCAAAATGTCTTAAGAGCTACAATGTCTGGTAAGAATTTCAAACACTGAAACTTCAAGACCTCAGAAAGACTAAGTACCCAGAAAAATAAAAGCCCACAGAGACGTGTCATTGAGAAATGTTATGATTTTTAAACAGTCGGGTGGCAAGGCTTTGGGAAAGGGAAATGGCAACAGAGAGAAGTCGTTTAAAGGATAGAAAAATTCCACTATCCTACTTCCATAGACACATTCTAATGTAAATCCAAGAGCAGGTTGGTAAACCCACTGGAGGAGAAAGGGAGAAAAAAATTCCTTTATTTATAGCATTTGATGGTTTCCTTGGTGTAAATGCTACCACCATGGCTGATTCCAGGCTGCCAAAAGTTGGCGAAATTCTTGCCAGTACAAGCCAACTCCCGGCACACCACTGCAAACCACCTAGTCTACGGTCTACACTGCAACTGAGCAATCTTGTGGCAAGTTTCCTCTAAACTCAACTGATCCATAATCATTCTGTGGGACAACCTTGCATCAATTCGCAGAAGTCCACCCTACTCTTGTTACATTTAGCTTTCTCAACTATATTGCAACGGGAAAGGGTTAGATGTTGAAAGCCCAATGATGTCCAGGCATGCCTGTCTTTACTAAGAAAGTCACAAGGAAAAAAACAACAAGAATCATATGTGCCAAAAAAAAAAAAAGGCTTCCTAAACCATTTTATAATTATTTCCTTTGTTAATGTCAATTCTCCACCTAAACCTTAACTGTCTTAGAAAACTTGATTCAAGATTGGTGTTTTCCCACAGCCTACTTCATTCAGCTCCTGGGTAGTTCTACTGTGGCGATGCAAAGACTAAGTAACAAAGTGTCAGCAGAGTAAAAGAAACAAGAACAGAACATCGCGCACACGAGTCCCAGTCCCACTGAGAGGCGGCAGAGATATGTGGAGAGGACCATAAACTAAATCAAGACACACGGGGAACTCGGATCCAGCTCGGCCGCTTGTTAACAGGGTGCTGGCATCTCTCTCAGTTGTAGCTCTTAATGAAAAATGAACAGCAATACCGTGCACACAGGGTCAACTTCAGGTAATATGAGCACATTTAGACAACGTCTAGCAGTAGCAGGTACTCGATCGCCTACTTGGTACCGTTCAGAAGGCCACACGAGTAGGGACCCTGGACACAGCTCAAGTATACTGCCAAGAGCACCAAGGAGGCCCACCTCTGTTGTGGGACTATGGCTGGTCAACTTCTAAAGACTCTACAGTCGGTCCCCATTGATCTGCCGTTATCACCGGGTCCACAAATTCCTTCCACAGTCACGCCCTAGAGTCCCAGGCCCCACAACAATACGGAGTCCGAAAAGTTCGCCTAAACACAGTTTCAGAAAGAGTAAAAAATGTTGTCACAAACTGGTTGGGATCAAGCTACCAATTAGGTTCCTACTTGTGTCCACATGAGGACCTGCAGCATCTTACCTCAACAAGGAAGTTGCATCAACAAACCAAAACAATGCACCTATTTATAATGTAAACAAACCCAGAGGGAAGAATCCCGTTTCTAATCTTCAGAACTGCAGGGTCCCCCCCCCCCCCCGCCCCAACCCTGCATCTTTCCAAATACACCTGTCTTTGTGGTACTCCACATTATCTTCCCTTAGGTTACGTTTCACACGCAAGCTTCTCTAGACCTCTTGTTATCAAAATATGAAACACACACAGGGAAGCACAAAAGCTGATTTATTTTCCAAAAGAAACTGCCACCCTTGAAAACCAGGGCAATAATATTCCTAATTTATTTTGTCCACGAATTAGTTGCTATTTCTCTACTGACAAGGGCATGAAGTCAGTCGCAGGTGGGAAGGAATATTTTAAAACTTAGTATATTCATAGATTAAGTTTCACGTTGGACACCTGTCCTCCAGATGCCACGAAGTTTTCTACAGATGCATGTCCTCTGAGGCGCGCGCACACACGTTTCCGGTAACGCCACAACACTCAGAAGCAAAGGACGACCTCTACCTGAAAGGTTATTAATTTTGAACTTGCTCCCAATGCCGCGTTAACTTTCTACTAAGTATCTACAAATTAAACGCGTTCTGAAACCCAAAGTCACACCGCCACGCCCCCACCCGCGCTCCCTCGCGCGGGGCTCCTCCTTCCCTCGACACCCCCCCAACCCAAGCTCCCTCGGCTCCCAGGGAGACTGTGGGTCCCCACCTACGGTCCCAGGGAAGCCCCGCCCCTTCCTCCCGGCTCCGGAGGCTCAGCCCCGACGGCACCCTCAGACCGAAGCCGCGCTCTAGGCGCACGGAGAGCCACAGCCGTTTCCCGCGGCGCGAGGCACGTGCGGGGACGGCCGGTCACCGCCCGCTGGCCGCCCTAGGGCAGGCGGGGTCAGAGGAGACACCCAGGATGACGGGCCCGGGCGTGGGTGCCGGGCCACCCCCGCCGCCGGCCCCGCAGAGACGCTTACACCGCGTCGCCGCGACCTCTCGGTGCGAGGGTCCGGGGGGCTTCGGAGCGGCCGGGTCGGCGCCGACGGACGCCCGCCAGGGGCAGAGCTAGGCCGGGGCGCAGCGCGGTCTCACGCCAGGCTGGACGACGGAGAGACCAGGCGGGGTACGAGTCCTCTGCGACGCCGCCCGGCCGCGTCCCTGCCCTCGTGGGGGGCGCGTTCCCGACCCCCACGAAGTCCCGGCCGCACTCACCTCTCGCAGGTGTCCGTCGAGTCCACCTCCTCCTCCTCGGCTGCCATGGCCGTCGTCGCCGCGCGAGCGCCGGGTCGCGCCTCCAAGCCGGCTGACTCGCCGACTGAGACAGCCGGGGCCAGCGCCGCCCTTAAGGCCACCGCCGCCCGCGCATGCGTCGCCCTCCCACTCGCACGACGCGGCGCGCGCCCGGCTGGCCCCACCTACACTCACCAGCTGCGCATGCGTCCTCCTGTCAGGTGCACTTCGGAACGGGCGCCGGGCGGGGCTGTACACTGAGGCGCGGGTAAGGCTCGCCTGGCGGTGCTAGGAAGGAACCGGTTTCAGTAATGACTGTTAATGCATCAAACGCTGATATTAACCGTCCGTGCTGGGCACTGGGCAGGCATTCTGTCAGTACCTTGGGACTGAGGCCAAGATAGTGTCCGATAGATGCCGCAAAGGCGAATGGAACTGCAGTCGTGGAGAGGACTGTGGCCTGCGGCCAGCCCTTCCCTCCAGGTGGGGAGGGAAGGGGAAAGGGTGACTCAGGACCCTCCGTCGATATTCGCCCACCTGCAGGTACTGGTCTGGGTGCTGGAGTTCCAGTAGTGGCCCGACCAGCAACTCCTGTGAGCCCCGCCCTCTGTATGCCCCGCAGGGGTGTCAGTCAGCGGCGTTCCTGAGCTGGAATCGCCAACGTAAATGTCAACCTTCTTGACCTGTTTAGCCATCACATACTGTGGGTTTGTAACTATACCTCTCCGTATTGTAGGGGCCAAGGGCAGGCTGTCCCCAAATGTGCCACTTTGGCATACTGATTATTTTAAATAAGTTACTTAAGAGACAGTCTATGTAGGAAGAACACTCAGACCCTCCTCAGTCCCCTGAAAACAGGAAATCAATCACCACGTGAAAGGTACCCTCCTTGTAAGGTGATAAGGCATCCTTATCACCAAAAATAGGAATTGAGAGCCAAGGAAGCTTTATAAACAACCTTGCTACTTTTTACTAGTTTACTACCCCGGCCCAGATTCTGTTTAGAATTCCTTCCTAATTTGAAGCTTCCAAAGTTAAGTTTTCTATATCTGGTCAGTTCTTCACAGATGTATTGTCTCTGTCTGGAAAGTATAAAAACTGCCCGCCTTGGTCATTTCTTTAGGTCTCAATTTCATTGTTGGGCCTCTGTGTAATAAAACGTTGTTGTTTTTTTTTTTTCCTCCCGTCAGTCTGTCTCATGTAAATTTAATTCTTAGTCCAGTTGGAAGACCTGTAGAGAAGAATTTTTCCTTCCCTTCACTACCGTTCATCTGTTCTCGTACCGTGTGCCTGCTCTGTGTCCACTCTGTTTTAGTTGCTGAGAAACGATGTATTGAAAAGGTCTGAGAGCAGGTCCTCCAACATTCCAGGACAGCCTGGTGCCCTGTTTCCAAATCCACTTCCTTTGGGTGACCCACTCTCCACTTAACCTTGAGTCAGAGTGCTCAAGTTGGAAGATCTTGACTGTCCAATCAGATAGTCAGGTGTAACATTTTCAAGGACATGACCTGTTCTGCACACAATTCCCCAGAGCTGTTGCATCGGAGAAACTAAATGCAGCCATTGTATCACCGTGACTAAGTGTGCCACCCAGTCGGTGACTGGTGCCCCACTGGTTCCAAGGTGGGCTTTCATTTTTAGCCCTCCCCGCCCCCCGACAGGGATTTTATTTTATTTATTTATTTATTTTTTTATTTTTTTTAGGGAAAATGCTGTCACAGGACCCTGGGTCTTTCTCCGAAGTCTGCCAAGCAGGCACTAGAAAGCCAGAATGGAGCGGAGGCATGGAGGTCTTTCTGAGGGCTTCAGGGGCCTTGCTGGCCTATAAATGTCAATAATGTGCTATAATTAATCAACGTGAGAAAGTAGTGTGGTAGGGAGATAATAAGAAGGACATAGGATAGTAAGGGAAATGGTGCCTGGGTCAAGGGAAGGGCATGGACATCAGCTGTTTGACCTCAGGGGGAAAAGTCACATGATTAGGGCTTCTTAGACTCTAGTCTGCATGCAAACTTCCTGGGGATATTTTTAAATTGCAGATTCCAATTCTGTAGGTCTGGTATGTGGCCTGATTATTAATAGAGATTATCTATTTCTTTTTTTTTTAATGTTTATTTATTTTTGAGAGAGAGGGGAGAGTGAGCGTAGGCAAGTGGGGGAGGGGCAGAGAGAGAGGGAGACAGAATCCAAAGCAGGCTCCAGGCTCTGAGCTGTCAGCACACAGCCCTACACGGGGCTTGAATTCACCAACCACGAGATTATGACCTGAGCCAAAGTCAGAAGCTTAACTGACTGAGCCACCCAGATGCCCCAAGATTCTGTATTTCTAATTAGCTCCCAGTTTTCTGGTCAGCACACCACCCTTTAAATAACAAAGCTCTAGAGCAGCAGCTAGAACTTTCTGTGATGATAGAAACGGTCTAAATCCCTCTGTCCAGTAAAGTAGCCATGAGGCACATGTAGCTATCGAGCATTTAGAATGTGACTAGTGTGACTGAGTTTTTTATTTCGGTTAACTAAAATTTAAAAACCCACATGTGGGGCGCCTGGTAGCTTAGTCAGTTAAGTGTCCGACTTTCACTTAGGTCATGATCTCACGGTTCGTGGGTTCAAGCCCTGCGTCCGGCTCTGTGCTGACTGCCAGCTCAGAGCCTGGAGCCTGTTTCAGTCTGTGACTCCCTCTCTCTCTGACCCTCCCCTGCTCACGCTGTCTCTCTCTCTCCTAGAAATAAATAAAACATTAAAAAAATAAAAATAAATAAAAACCCACACGTGGTTAACAGCTACCGTCTTGGACAGCAAGGTCTAGATTGTATACTCCTTATCTATGAAAATGAGAGTTTGAAACTGGATGGTTCTCTATATTCCTTCTGGTGTTCTGTGGTTTCAAGTTGTTTTCAAGGTGTGTATGGAGGGAGGGGATGGAGGAGGGGGGAGATGTTGCACATGTTAAAATTTGATGTAAGGATGAGGGATCAAGAGCTCTACCATGGTGCTGTGGCAGAAGAGGGCCATGGTCCCCTAAGGTCTGGATTCTAGAACTCAGTGGAAGAAGTGCCCTCCAGAAACAAGAGACTCTGACTTGCCAATGAATATCAGTTGAACTCTTCAAAAGCAGATAAAAGGCCTTCTTTAGCAAGATACAACAGCCAGGCCATAAAGGAAAAGAGCAAGTAATGTAACCACATCAAAATTTAAATTTCTGTGTGGAAAAAAAAGATGTACAATAAAACACAATGCAAAAATTTGAAACAGATCTGGGTTTAATGTCTTCAACATATAAAGAAAAATTAAAGAATAAAAAAAAAAGAAAATAGATTTTTAAAAAATCCTTCTGAAAAAACTCTCAAGCCATTAAACAGACAGAAGATGCCTATACTCCTCTGGGATCAAGAGAATGAAAATCCAAACCATGATTGACATAGCTAAAAAAGGTTCATGGTTCTAAATATTGGCAAGAACCTGGATCAATGGGGAATACTTCTACCCAGTCCATGGGAGTGCCAATTGATATAGCCATTTGGAAAACAGTTTGGAAGTTACCTGTTTAAAAAATGGAAAATTAATATACCCTCTGACCAAGCAATTTAATTTCTGGAAGTCCAGTCTCTCTCGTGTGCATATGGAGATATATAAAAGGATGTTTCTTTCAGTATTCTAATAGTAAAAAAAAAAAGTGGGGGGGAAGAAAAAGAAGAAAGGAAAGAGAAGAAAAAGAAAACAAAATAAGAATGCCCATGATTAAATAAATTCTGATTCCCCCATAATATGGAATGCCTTGACAGTAATTAATAAAAATGAGGTAAATCTATATTCACTAATTTGGAAAACTCTCCAGTGCATATTGATGAGTAAAAAAAGCAAAATCCATGAAATATGAGCCAAAAGTTCGTTCTTTGAGTTTCACAAAATTGATAAACCCCTAGCTAACTAATCAAGATTAAAAAAAACAAACAGAAATAAAGGCTACCAGTTTGGAAAAGAGGATGTGACTACAGATCTTACCAACATTAGGATGATAATGAGGGAATATTACAAATAGCTTTATGCCAATGAATTTGACAACTTAGAGAAAATAAACAAGATTTTATCTTAAGTTAGAGAACATAACTTGCCCAAAACTGACAGGATAAAATAAGAAACTTGAACAACTCAATATTGATTTTTAAAAAGTTGAATATATAATTTTTTTAAAACTTCCTACAAAGAAACATTTTTTTGAATAATTAAGTAATCTCCTCCAATGGTGGAGTAAGATGGTCATAAATTCTTTGCTCCTTCTCACATTGAAAGTTGGCTCTATTTTCTCTCCCCTTCTGTCTGAGCTGGGATTTGTTTCAACCAATAAAATGTTTCAGAAGTGATGCTGTCATTTCCAAGGATGGAACTTAAGAGATCTGTAGCTTCAGTGTTTCCCAGCTCATACAATTCCTCTTGAAAGTCTGACTACCCTGAGACCACCATGCTGTGAGGAAATATGCAGCACCAGACTTCTTTGGATTTCTAGCCTGGCCTCCACTACCGAATGCTCCTGAGTGAATGACACCAACCAGCAACATGTGGACTAAAACATCTGCCCAGATGAGCTTAAGTTCCTGACAGAGCATGGTAAAAACCAAATAATGGTTGTTTTAAACCACTGTATTTTGAGGTAGTTGCAGGTTTACCTGCAGTTGAAAGAAGATGGAGCCATCTCATGGATCCTTTACCAGTTTTCCCTTGAGGTAACATCATGCAAAACCGAAGTTCAAGATCACAACCAAGGTATTAACACTGACGTAAAAAAGGATATAGAACATTTACATCATCACAAGGGTCCCTCATATTGCCATTTTGTAGCCACACCCACTTCTCTCCTGCACACACAAAACCCCTCCATCCTTAACCTCTGGCAACGACTAACTTGCCTCTGTGGCTTTGTCAGTTCAAGAAAGTTATGTAAATGGAATCATACAATATGTGACCTTTTGAGATTCACTTGTTTCTCTCAGCATAATTGCCTGGAGATTTATTGAAGTTGTCAAATGTTTTAGTAGCCTGCTCCCTTCTATAGCTGAATAGTATTCCATGGTTGGATATACTACTGTTTGTGTAACCATTCACCTATTGAAGGACGTCTGGG